TGGAATTTTATTCAAAATTGAAGATTTGGTCACCACTTCCTTATCTACCATTTTTCATAAAAGTTGAAATTCCCCCTAAAGTCAATGACCTGAAGATTCTTATTCAATCAAACACCTTCCATAACCTCCAAGGCTCTACTTAAGTCGGAAAGCTTTTTTTTCTTAGAAGTTATTCCTTAATCACATGTTTATGTTTTATTAGGGATTTCAATTTTAAAAAGGCAAAAATTCTTCTTTTTTGATCACAAAGGTAAGAACCCAAATTCAAACTCACATTCTTTAAAAGAGGGTGATTCTAGGGAGCTTCTATTTGTACATCTCTATTTCCCTCTTTGCACATATTTAATGATAATTATTTTTATTATAATTTTATTTTCAAGTGAAATTACTATTATGGACATCAAATAAACACATTCGGAAGTTGAATGTCGAAAAAAAAAAAAAAATAGAATTCTACTTTCGAATAAGTTGTTTATTTTCGGAATGCTACTTCCGAACTAGTTGTTTATTTTCGAAATACTACTTCTGAACCAATTATTTATTGAAAAAGATGTGTATAGAGTGTAATGGGTGTGTGCAAATAGAAGCTCCCGTGATTCTACTTACACTACTATTTAATCTCTTTACACCCTCCATCTCATTACATCACTAAAAAAAATATGATTCTCGTTACACTTTCAATATATTATCAAAACTAACCCTAAATTAATTATTTCATCTCTTTACACCACTAATTTTGGTAATACGGTGCTAAACAATTTACATTATTCCAATGTTATGCTGCCGGAAAAAATAGATCTCTCTAACATTTTGTTGCTATACATTTACAGAGTCACTTTCTTCTAAACAATGATTTTTTTAATTTGTGGTGGGCATGTTCGGTAATACAACGCTAATTAATTTGAATTACTCCAGTGCCATGTTATCGGACAATATTTTTTTCCCAGCATTATGTTGCTGTCCAATTAGATGATAACAAGAAATTAATTTGGGCCACTTGTGAAGTGTCTGTTCAGTGATACATTGTTACACAAATGAGATTACTCTAGTGTCATGTTGCCAAGCTACAATAGAGTTGTCTAAGCCCCCATCGTTGTACATTGAAAGATTTATTTTTTCCTTGAAACATCCATAAAAAAATTCATAAATCAAACACGCATCCATAAAATCATACATAAAATTATCCATACAATGATTCATAAAAACATCAAGCGTACGAATATCCATAAAGTATCCATAAAATATGTCATTGTTTGCATCCATCAATCAAACATGTTATCACAATTCGTCTTGGTAATTTTTCCCCCTTAATAAAAATAGACATCCACACTTTTCAGAACCAGTCAACCTCAATCGTTCCCCTTTGATCTTTCTACTGTCTCTATAGTAACCACTTATTTTACAAGCAAGTGGTGTAAGTCTTGGTTTTCAACCATTGTCTCCTGCATCTGATGTTTTTATAACAATAACAAACCCAGTCTTTTTCCTAACGTCAGAAGCCCATTTAATTAATATTTCACGACTACTAAAAATCTAAAGATAATAAATACATTTATATGTCAAATTATTAATAAAACTCAATAAGAAAAAATCGTATTCATAAAAAAAACATAACAAACCTCGTCTGTAATGAATTCATGACTATAGTCCACTAATATTATAGGACTTGCGTTGTTGCAATAAGTATAAGTATAATCCTTCCAGGCAAAAAAATAAAAAATAAATAAAAAAATGAAACTGAAAATACATGGTAATGAGAAGTTGAACAAATTAAAAAAATTCAGTTTGAGGTTATCGGAAATGTATCTTTTATTCCGTAGTTGGTTACCAGACTTATATTTTTTGTTCGGCAATGTGATGTCGGACTATTTTATTTTGTTCGATTTCGAACTACCGAACGAAAATCGAACACCAGGCCAGAGAAAACGAAACAAAAATCTACCAAATAAATAAATAAAAAAACTCAAAATTTCACTTTTTTATGGTTCTTCACCACCGTTTCTTCATCCATTAATTTCTTTAATGATCAAAATACTATGATTCTCAATTTTTTTAAAGAAGTGTGGAATATGAAACAATCACATAAATCCATTAGAGATAAACAATCACAAAATATCAATATTTATGTGGTTGAGCCTAAGCCTACCACCACAGGTAAAGATAAGGATCTACTAGTAACGAAAACGATTACTCTGAAAAGCTACAATTGTGGCAAAGCAATCCCTCACAATGCTTACCACCCAAATACATGATCTCTCACGAAATCCAAAATTCTCTCTCTACCTGCAAACGACAAATTCTCACAAAGAGACGCCAATAAATCTAGTTAAATATAACCATAGACTCCAAATAAAGAGAACCCTCTTCTAATTCCTCCAAAACGGGCAATGGCCTCTTTCCAAAGAGAGATCCCACAGGACTTCCAGTAGCTTGACCAAAGAAATTGAAAAGTTCAATTAAATTAATGAGAGTCTCCACTTATTTATATCCAAGGAATCCTTCCTGAAACAAAATAGGTTTCCTTTTAATCCAATCCAAAACCAACTAGGAAATACTAAATCCAAAACTTTAAAAGTCCAAACCGAGTCATTTATCATAAATTCAAACCAATATGGGAGTCAAAACCAAGTCAGTGTTTGACTACCCACAAATCCTATTCCAATTAGGAAATAGAATGCTGAATCCAAATTATATTGGGAATAGACATTGAGCCAATAATCCAACATAGTTTAATAACTAAAATAAATTTTTTCTATTAATTTTATTTAATGAAAATAAACAAATACTTTAGATTGAAAATAAATCAAAGATTTAATATTTAAATTGATAAAATTCAAAATTTATTTTGTTATAAGATTAAACCCTAACTTTTTAACTTATAATTTCCCTTATATTTTTATGTAAAAGTGAATATAATACATAAATGTAAATTTTTTAAAAACTTACTTAGCATGTATTCAGAGTAGGAATGGTAACAGGGCCGGGCCAGGCCGGGGATCACACTCCCTGTCTCCAATCCCCGATGGTAAAAATTTCTCCGTCCCTGGCCCCGATTCCCGACAGGGAACCTATCACCGTCCCCGTCCCTGCCTCCTAATGGAGATCGGGTTTCCCTGACCCTAAAAATTTCTCGGACCAAAAAAAAAACAAACCAAACAACAGCAACAACAACGATTCAACAACATCATCAAACAACATCATCAAACAACATCAACAACAACATCATCAACATCATAGATTCATAGAGAGGGAGAGAGATCTGAGTAGAGAGAGAAAGAGATCTGCTCAGATCTGTCGTCTCTGTACAACAACTGGATTGATCTGAGAAATGAAGAAGACAAACACCTTTGATTTAGAGCTGAAATGAAGAGAGAGAAGATAAGGACAGGGAGAGAGAGAGAGAGAGACGTCTTACCAAACCCCATACTTCTTCGCCGGCGACGATGGCAGGGTATGCAGCGGAGCTGCCACAGCGAACGACGACCACGACAGTGCGAACGACGAGCGACTGCGGTGAAGAGGGAGAAAGGAAGAGAGGAGAGAGAGTGTGGAATGGCAGAGGCGGTGAGGAGGGAGGATCGGCGATGCGGGAGGAGAGGCAGCCGTCGTGAGAGAGAGAGAGAGAGAGAGAGAGAGCAGCAGCACCACAATGTGTTTGTGTGTGAGTGTGGCAACCAAAGCTAAACAAACACATATATATATAAACAGGGGTATAATGGTAATCTTACATCGGGGATTGAACGGGGCAGGGGCAGGGGCGGGGCGGGTCCGGGGGTGAGACCTGTATTCCCGTCCCCGGCCCGAATATCATCGGGGATTCCTTTTTGAATACCATCCCCAGCCCGTCGAGGGTATTTTTCGCGGAAAAACCGCTCAATTCGGGGTCGGGGGTCGGGTCCCCGTCGGGCCGAGTTTAGATTGCCATCCCTACTTGGGGCTGCCCTTTTTTTTTTGATGAGTATGGAACTGGTTTTTAGGTTTTCTTGTAATAACATATTCAAAATCTTTTAGCATCAGTTTTAATGGTAAGAGAGCTATCTCTTTTCCAGTGTTTTTTGGCAAACAAGTATAGATTTGCAACTTCAAAACACAGTAAAAACATTTCATTATTACTTTGTTCGAGTCGAAATTGCATTAGTAGCAAAACTAATTTATCTAAGACAATCAAAGCAAAATCTAAAATCAAAACAACAGTAATATTAGAAGCAAAAATAAATGAAAAAAGGTCCAAATTGCATTAGTAACATCAGGAATCAACATTTCATACCTTTGTATGAGATGCCTAGGAATGTTGGGGAATCGAATATTCCCAATTTGCTATTTGGATATACCATTAATGTATATCGAAAATGAAACTTCAAGATCATTTTCATATTTAGTTTACTACTAATATAACCATCATAAATTAGATTTACAAAATAAATAAATAAATCCTTACATAGAATGAGAACGAGAACGCTCCCCCCTCTCCATGGTAAAGAGATTCCAGCCATATGAGGGCATCTCAATCTTGGATTCTGATTACCAAAAATAGGCACCAAACACGGGAAATTAGCAAAATGGGAATGGGATTCATTTCAAACAAACCCACATCCATGCCAAGTTAACAGCAACAAGAAATCTGCCTTCATTTAAAAATAAAAAAAATAAAAAGGATTAAGATCCTGAAATGCAATTGGTAGCGCTACTCATCCTCAAATAATATGTGACCATTTATCTTACATTACACATCATAGGCAAAATTGGTGAAGGCACAACTATGTGAGGATTCATAAAAATGATGGAACATTTCCTTATCCACACAAATTAACAAAAATGCATAAACAAAAACGTCATCTTTAACAAAACCAAATTTCAAGCATTGAAGGTGTCAACATGTTGCATATCTCTCTTGTTTTTCATTCAGGTTTCTTTTGAAAACTGTGGAGATCAATATTCTTCCTTTGTTCCACCCAGGTCTAACAGGTAGTTGTAACATCAATTGAGATTAATTAATGCAACCTAACAAGCACGGACATGGTGATTTGAAAAAAATGGGAACACAGACACATGAGGGGACACGACAATAAAATATTTTTTCATACATTTTTATTGTTATGTAGATTAGAATTAAATCCATAAACAATCAAAAATAACAAAAAACTGAAACTAATTCGATATTTTAAAATATATATCACTTTAAATTTAAATTAACACTTAACGTTTAGATCTTTATTATGGATGATCTATTAAGTATTTAAATCTAAGCAAAAGGTAATAAATATTCAACATCCAACATCCATCAAAAACAATAAAGAAAAGAGGGAAAAAAATAGTTGGTGCGTTCCCTAAAAACAAATTAATTAAACAAAAGGACATGCACACGTGGGGTGTCCCATATGTGTCTCCGTGTCCGACACCGCTACAACATTTGTTTTCACGTGCAAGCTTCCTCCAATTCATTTATTATTTACCTCTTCCTTTAACCCTACCTATTATGTAATTTGCATGCAAAGATCTAAAACACATGACCGATCTATTGTGACTAATGAAGTCCCAAGGCATCGTTGGTCAATCAGAAGCATCAATTTTCACAAGTTCTACATTAACATTAATATCTTAGAAATACTACAAAAATGATATTAGAAATACTAGAAAAATGATACATGGCGAAATCTTAAATACACCAAAAAATCAAATCCTATTTTCTCATTCTGCAAGAGATTCAAAAAAAATAAAAAATAAATACACAGTCAAAATGCCACATTCAAGCCAGACAATAATTGATAATGACTAAACTGAACCGTTGTTGCCATATTTTTTGGGATACTAAACAAAAAATTTTGCTCACACATATCATCTTGCAATTTGGACCCTAAAGTGTATACAAGATGCTTATGTTACATGACTTCGGGCAAGAATATTAGGTGAAGGTGCGCATCCAAGCGTCAAGCTTTCATAAATCTAAATCTTAAGATATTTCTAAATCCATAAGTTGGATATGGATAAGGAAAAATGTCAAGGACAATAATATAATTGCACATTATATAACATTCTTCAATAAGATGTAAATTATGTAAAAATGTATTTGAATTTAAATAGGATTTAGGGAAATATAAAACTTCTCTCTCTCATCAAGCTATTAGTGTTTCTTAACTTACAAATGTGAGTTTCTTCTTCTTTAAACATTGTAAAAAATTAGAGAATCGAAGTGTCTAAATTAGATACGGTGTCAAACACATATCCTACCATTGCCCTTGTTATGTCTGGTGGTCACGATTACTTCGGGAGAAATAGAGAGTGGGCTTGGAGGAAGAAGAAAGGGAGTGGGCTTGGAGGAAGAAGAAAGGGAGTTACTTTCATCCACCTAAACACATAATTGCCCAAACACAAAGCTCTCCAACACATTCCAACACTATACAGAGAGTGGGCTTGGAGGAAGAAGAAAGGGAGTTACTTTCATCTTATTCTTCTTGGCCTGCAGCTTCTTTGCCTTGTTTTCTTTCTCTAATTTCTCTCCTGATTTTTTCAAATACAAATCAGAACAAACTCGATCACATACCCACAACAAAAACATTTAGGGGGCCAATTTACCAAAAACCCAATTCAAATCATATAAACACACACACATATACATACATATAGAGAGAGAGAGAGAGAGATAGAGAGAGAGTGCTTTGGAGTTCGAATTCGTGATGTCTTTTTCTGCGAGCTAGGCCGTTCTTCTTCGATATTTCTCTCTCTCTCTCTCTCTCTCTCTCTCTCTACTGAATCAACAACAACTCGTCGTTTCTTTCTCTCTCTCTGGTACTCTGGTTTTCACTTCAATCTCCAGGAGATACTTGAATTGAAACCCTAATTCCGCTTTTGTCTGTTTTATTATTGAAATGGGCTTTTAAGCCCCATCAAACTCTTTGGGCCAGGTTCACTTTTTCTTTTATTTTGTCTTATTTGGGTGATTATATTTGCACCCAAATACTATCTTAATTCGCCTAATTAAAATTTTCTTATTATGATACCTTAATATAAATTTATTATTAAAGACAATATACATTAAACTATAAAATAAAATATATTTTTTTTAATGTACACCCCAATCATTTATATTCAAGTTTGTTCATCTTCTTTCCAAAGTTTTAATTATTTTCTGTTATTTTTTTGTCATTCCAAAACTTCAATCCACCATTATCATCAACCTCTTTGTTTATTAATGTATTGTTATTTGCAAATAGAAAAAAGCTTGAACAAAATCTGTAATGCCCTCAAAATAAACTCATAATATCATACATTCACGATACAGGAAAGAGACATTATATTACAATCATCAGAGTATTCTTACAAAATGTATTACATATTGACAATAAAAGTAATCGCCATATGGACTTACAACTTCTCAAGTCAATACTTGGTTAAAAAAAAAGAGTGCAAACTCTATACAAAGAAAGTCCTTGGCTTGATATACATGTAATACAACAAAACAATAAGATGTGGTATAACAGCCTCAAGCCTCCCAAGCTACGTCATTGGAGGTGGCATAACACCTGTACCTGAAAATAATGTCCCATATAGGGTGAGCCAATGCCCAATAGAGATATGCTAAACATAGTATGAACAATAACTAAAACGCTAGTAATTGATAAATGTTCAACTCATACACGACAACTTATAATACATTTCAATTCCATGACTAATATGACCATGTCCTATTCCAGTTTCCATTTCTTATCTAATTCTCAATTCATAACTATGACTCAGAACTTGGTTAATCAATTCAAATGAGATCACATCTCATATCAACAGTATTTCTATTTCGGGTGAGATAATAACTCATTTTAAACATTTCATACTTCATAATAGATACACATTTTAGTACTGTATCAATCTCAGACAAAAACACTTCCATACTTCACAAATGATACACATTTTAGTGATGTATCAATATCAAACAAAAACACTTATACTTCACAAATGATGCACATTTTAGTGCTGTATCAATATCAAACAAAATCCGATTTAGAGGTTCATCCCCCATCTTCCAATAAATCGTGGAGTACATCCCCTATCTCCTCTCATACAATACAATGTATATAAGCAATTATCATATACAAATTTAATCAATCAAGACAATTGATACACATTTTAGTGCTATATCAATGTCAAACAAAACACTTATATAATTCACAAATGATACATATTTTAGTGCTGTATTAATGTCAAACAATATCCAGTTTAGAGGTCCATCCCCCATCTTCCAATAAACCGTGGAGTACATCCCTCATCTCCTCCCACACAATACAATGTATATAAACAATTAAAATATACAAGTTCAATCAATCAATACAAATTTTTGATATATTATGCCAACCGCCATATTCAATAGCATACTCAATTGATTAGTTTTAGTTTGCCTAATCATCATGCATTGTTGTAACAACCCTCATACTGTTTACCGATTAATGACTGACTGATTACCGATTACTGCTAAACTGAGATCGAATAGGAAAAGTAATTGAACTGACTGAAAAACTGAACTGATTATGACTGTTAAGTGAACTGAATAAAATACTGAACTAACTGACTGAAATATGGAATTGAATTGACTAGGTATATCTGTTTAACTGTATGTCTATCTGTTGCTTGATTCATTATCTGTTTATGTCCCTATGATTGAACTGCTAATTGAAGGCCTTATCGGCGGCCGAATCCAAAATTGATTGATGTTCCATTATCAGTAGAATTTATGTGATTTTATGGTAAACTTAATTGAAAGATGATTTAGTATGATTAAATTAGATTAAATATTGACAAATTCCCAAGTTTGATTTATTTACCAAAAGCCATCTAGTGGGCCACTACCTAGGCATATTGAGCTACACCACACTTGAATCCAAACATTCCTCAACCTTGTTTGAGCACTCAGCCGAATTTAGAGAGAGAGAGAGGAAGTGAGAGACTTGAGTTCACTTGTAGAATTGCTTGGAAATTGAAGGATTTAGAGCATAAGATTGCATAGTTGAGCTTGTTCATCTTGCATTCAAGACTTAAGATAGCTCCATTGTCTTCTTGTTCATGTTTTGAGTTGTTCTTGCATGATTCATGCTTCATTGTAGAACTAAGTCATGAATTGGTTCATTAATGGTGAATTGAAGCTCATTTCATGCATGTATGTTTGAATTAATGGGTTTTGAGTTGAATTCATGGTAAAATGGTGCATGCATGTTCATGATCTTGTGATGGTCCAAGCTTTCAACATGCTTTGGAAACAATTGGCTCCTTAGAGCATCAAATTGAAGCTTTGAAAATGATTTAAGATCATGCATGTCATGTTTGAAGATTGTTCTTGAAAATGATTTGAAATTGAGTTTGAATTAAACACCCTTGGGCTTTGATTTCTCAAATTGAGCTTGAAACATGTTATTCTATGTGTTTATAAATGTTTTCCAGAAAATGGGCCCAAGAGGATCGGTTTTAATGCTTTTGAACTTGGTTTTTGGCTTGGAGGTGCAATCTGGAATTTCCAGATTCTGCACTTCCGCTCGAGCGGAGGAAGTGCCGCTCGAGCGTAGAATTCGAGCATCCAGTATCTCTGCACTGTTTTACAGTCCGCTCGAGCGGAGGATTGGGCGCTCGAGCGGAGTCAGGTCTCACGCTCGAGCGGGCGTCGAGCGGAGATTTCACCCATCCAGTACTTTCACAGTACGCTCGAGCGGAAAAGTTTACGCTCGAGCGTGTACCTTTGTTGCATTTGTGAAGACAAAAGGTGAGTAAACGATCCTTACTAGATCAAAACTAAGAGAGAAGTCTTTTTATTCTGTTATGGATTTCGTATACGTAGTTACAGACACATCTATTTGTATATCTATGTTAATACATAGTTATGCATGTATTTTTTTTAAAAAAAAATTACCACGATTAGTGTGTACTTTAATGTAAACGTCTACCTCGATAAAGTGGTCAGGAATTGGAAATAATCTGAGTCCTTTCTGTTGGTTTTTGGAAAGTATTGAAACCATCAAGCTAGGGTAAAATGGAAATGCTGGGTGAGGGCTTAAAGACCCATTTGACTCCAATAGAATGGACATTGGGAAAACAGAAATTCTCGAAGTACCCTTATCTTAAAACAATCATTCTGAAAAACAAATGGAAGTCTTTAAATTCATAATAGAGCAATAAATAAAATGGTTGCAAATTGTCATGGCAAAGGCAAAGATTAGTAAAAAGTTAAAACAGAACAAACACCCAAGCACACAAGGCTTTACATGGTTTGGCTATAAGCCTACGTCCACTGGTGAAGAATGGAATTCACTATGAAGATTGAGATTACAATAAGCTGGCTTGCTCTCTCTCTCTCTGAATATGTATATAGGGATCCAAAATTGGCAAACCTACAAGGATCCAATATCTTTATGCAGATATTTTCCATTTCTTAGATTAATGATCTTTCTAGGATATGCATTTGACATTCCATGCCTAATGTTGTGGTAATTCTACCAGGCCCTTGATTTGATACGGGACAGGAACCTTGAGATGCTGACAGATTCTTTCTTGGAAGGAAAATTTTCCGATGATGCCAGGACTGAGTTAGTACGCTTGGCTTCTCGATGCTTGCAATATGAACCCCAAGAAAGGCCAAATCCAAAGTCATTAGTGGCTATTTTGACTACTCTTCAGGAAAATACTAAGGTCAATTACATTTTTGTTTTTTGCTTAATTTTCTTAAGAATAAAGGCTTATCATCCCAAAGCAACTCAGAAATTGGAAAGTCTGGACTTTTGTTGTTGATCAAAAAAAAATTGGAAAGTCTGGACTGTTTCCTAATTATTTATTTATTTTTTTTGGTATGATACTTTTACATTTTTAACTTCTTATAGTCAGAATTAGTTATTTGAAATTTTGAATGTGCCAATTTCATCTTGTTAAGCGGATTTAGGTTTGTTATGAATCTTTGGTTTCTTGCTGTACAGGTTCCTCCTCATGTCTTAATGGTTATCTCACCCAGTGCTTCCTTCTCACCTAAATCCCCACTTGGTGAAGCATGCTTAAGAATGGACTTGACTGCCATACATGAGATCTTGGAGAATATTGGGTATAAAGATGACGAAGGTGTCACCAATGAGGTATTGTATATGTTTAAAAAATGTTAAAGATTAGATTTTTCTCGTCATGTATTCTGAAGTCAACATCTTAATCTCACATAATTGTCTCATTAGAATGTTTAGGGCTTATACATAGTGCAATATAATTGCTTTGTAAGCTTCAGCTTCAATTTTCCGTTGCCTGAGCATGATATATCAGTCAATATCGACTGATATATAAGTGAATATCGGTATCGGAACTCTAAAATCCTGATACTAATTGGCTGATATCTAAAGCCCTCCCACCTTTTTCTTTTTCTTTTGTTGCCATGGAGGATGTCAACCGCTTGAGAGCATGTTATGCTTTGTCATACCAGAGACAATTTTATCGTTCTTTTTGACCCAGATAAAATTACAGCCTATGCATTGTGCTTTTGCTCACTGCCATCTTTCAACATTGTAGTTTATGGGAAATGTGACATACCACATTCGTACGTTTTAGAAAATGTGACATACCACATTCGTGATCATGTTCCATGCACCGAAACAATCCATGTCTCAGGTAATTCAGAGATAGTGGCAGTTTATGGGAAAACTGTGATACTCTAATGGTTACATTCTTGAAAATCTGAGTGAATGCTGGAATCCTAATAACGGTTTTATTTTCCTACTTGCAGTTTATTGAAGCAGGAATACTAGGGTCACCAACAGTTTTTGCTCGCCGTAATTTGTCTTATCTCATGAGCGACTCGCCACAGGAAGCTTTAAAGGATGCAATGCAAGCCCAAATCATATCTCCAGCCTGGCACGTACTGTCTTATCTACAAGCCTCTGCACTTTTCGCCCTTAAAATGGAAAATGAAGCACAAATAGCCCTTAAGGATGGTTCAGCTCTTGAAGCCAGAAGGAACAAAAGTGTTAGACAGTAACGAAATGATGTACAGATATGTAAATCTTCTGCTTTGCTCGCTTTGTCTCACTTCCTTTGTGAAGATCATTATTTGGCACATATTGAAAGGTTTCTGCTCTGACCGGGGCTTTATTCTATTCAACAATCATAAAGAAATTATTGTCCTTCATTTCTTGTTCACAGTTGTAGTTTGTGTACAGAAACTGTGACCGATTTTCATGTCCTTGAGATAGTTACATTCATTTGTTTTGGAAGTTATAATGATTTATTTGGTACTTCGTGTTCCTGTATTTACAATTTCGTGTATTTACAATTTCGATGTAATGCTTTATTTGATATCCCAGAAATTGTCAACAAAGTGTGAAATTTACTGGTTTTCTTTTTCTCCATCTTCTTGGTTTTGAGATGGTCAAAACGTAGATTTGCAGTGCCATTTTTGAATGTTAGTTATATAGAGGATACTTTAGCGTAGACCTTGAAACTTATTTTGAGAGTTGATTGGATTTGTGTACCGAAACTTTCCCCCAAGGATGAGATTTGCTATGTTTGGATCTTGGATTTGTGAAAAGGAAACGAAAAGGAAAAGGAAACGGAAAAGATGAATGAAGTAGGGTGGTTTTGGATATTGGATTTAGGGTTTCTTCTTCTTTTTTTTTCCCCAAAAACATAGAAAACTTGTTTGATGAACTGTTTTCGAAAATAGCTTATGAATTTTTGTAGGAAATACTAAAAAGTTTGTTATGTGTGTTCAAAAGCATTTTTTGCACAAAATGAAAACGATAGGTGTTTTCAAACTTTTCATTGATTTATTTTTAAAAACACAAAAAATCAAAACGAAAAAAATCAAAACACAACTATACTCTTTTACCTCCACAAATTAAGATCTGAACACAGCTTTATGCTCTCATTATATGCTTTCCAATTTGCACTTTGACCATTTGGTGTCTTTTCCCATTTGCTTCTGGTCTATAATTAGTTTCTAGGAAGCATTCACTCATCTGGTGCCTTTTCTTATTTTCTTTTCCTTCAAAAGACAACAATGGTGGCTGCCTAACTTGGGGCTAGGAATGGCAACGGGGAGGGACGGGGCCGGGGATCACACTCCCCATCCCCGATCTCCGATTGTGAAGATCTCCCCAACCCCGGCCCCGATTCCCGACGGGGAACCTACTGTCGTCCCCATCCCCGCCCCCTAACGGGGATCGGGTTTCCCCAACCCATTTTTTTCAACATCATCAACAATCATCAACAACTTTAAAAAAAAAAAAAATTCATTTTCTGGTTCAATCATCAATCATCAACAACAATTCATTTTCTTTCTATATTTCTTAGCAACCAAACACAGAAAAATGTACAAGCTTTCAGATCTGGTTCATTTTCTTTCACCATCTAGTTCAGATATGAGAAATGGAGAAGAAAACGCCTTAGATTTAGAACTGAAATGAAGAGAGAGAAGATAGGGGGAGAGGGAGAGAGAGAGAGAGAGAGACGTCTTACCAAACCCCATACTTCTTCGCCGGCGACGATGGCAGCGTATGCAGCGGAGCTGCCGCAGCAAACGACGATAGCGACAGTGCGAACGACGAGCGACCGCGGTGAAGAGGGAGAAAGGAAGAGAGGAGAGAGAGTGTGGAATGGCAGAGGCGGTGAGGAGGGAGGATCGGCGGTAAGGGAGGAGAGGCAGCAGTCGTGTGAGAGAGAGAGAGAGAGAGAGAGAGCAGCACCACAATGTGTTTGTGTGTGAGTGTGGCAACCAAAGCTAAACAGACACATATATATAAACAGGGGTATAATGGTAATCTTACATCGGGGATTGAACGGGACAGGGACGGGGCGAGTCCGGGGGTGAGACATGTATTCCCGTCCCCGGCACGAATATCATTGGGGATTCCTTTTTGAATACCATCCCCGGCCCGTCGAGGGTATTTTTCGCGGAATAACCGCTCAATTCGGGGTCGGGGGTCGGGTCCTCGTCAGGCCGGGTTTAGATTACCATCCCTACTTGGGGCTGCCCTTTTTCTTTTGATGAGTATGGAACTGGTTTTTAGGTTTTCTAGTAATAACATATTCAAAATCTTTTAGCATCAGTTTTGATGGTAAGAGAGCTATCTCTTTTCCAGTGTTTTTTGGCAAACAAGTATAGATTTGCAACTTCAAAACACAGTAAAAACATTTCATTATTACTTTGTTCGAGTCGAAATTGCATTAGTAGCAAAACTAATTTCTCTAAGACTTAATCAAAGCAAAATCTAAAATCAAAACAACAGTAATATTAGAAGCAAAAATAAATGAAAAAAGGTCCAAATTGCATTAGTAATATCAGGAATCAACATTTCATACCTTTGTATGGGATGCCTAGGAATGTTGGGGAATCGAATATTCCCAATTTACTATTTGGATATACCATTAATGTATATCGAAGATGAAACTTCAAGATCATTTTCATATTTAGTTTACTAATAATATAACCATCATAAATTAGATTTACAAAATAAATAAATAAATCCTTACATAGAATGAGAACGAGAACGCTCCCCCCTCTCCATGGTAAAGAGATTCCAGCCATATGAGGGTATCTCAATCTTGGATTCTGATTACCAAAAATAGGCACCAAACATGGGAAATTAGCAAAATGGGAATGGGATTCATTTCAAACAAACCGACATCCATGCCAAGTTAACACCAACAAGAAATCTGCCTTCATTTAAAAAAAAAAAAAAAAGGATTAAGATCCTGAAATGCAATTGGTAGCGCTACTCATCCTCAAATAATATGTGACCATTTATCTTACATTACACATCATAGACAAAATTGGTGAAGGCACAACTATGTGAGGATTCATAAAAATGATGGAACATTTCCTTATCCACACAAATTAACAAAAATGCATAAACAAAAACGTAATCTTTAACAAAACCAAATTTCAAGCATTGAAGGTGTCAACAGGTTGCATATCACTCTTATTTTTCATTCAGGTTTCTTTTGAAAACTGTGGAGATCAATATTCTTCCTTTGTTCCACCCAGGTCTAACAGGTAGTTGTAACATCAATTGAGATTAATTAATGCAACCTAACAAGCACGGACATGGTGATTTGAAAAAAATGGGAACACAGACACATGGGTGGACACGACAATAAAATATTTTTTCATGCATTTTTATTGTTATGTAGATTAGAATTAAATCCATAAACAATCAAAAATAACAAAAAACTGAAACTAATTCGATATTTTAAAATATATATCACTTTAAATTTAAATTAACACTTAACGTTTAGATCTTTATTATGGATGATCTATTAAGTATTTAAATCTAAGCAAAAGGTAATAAATATTCAACATCCAACATCCATCAAAAACAATAAAGAAAAGAGAGAAAAAATTAGTTGGTGTGTCCCCTAAAAACAAATTAATTAAATAAAAGGACACACACACGTGGGGTGTCCCGTATGTGTCTCCGTGTCCGACACCGCTACAACATTTGTTTTCACGTGCAAGCTTCCTCCAATACATTTATTATTTACCTCTTCCTTTAACCCTTCCTATTATGTAATTTGCATGCAAAGATCTAAAAAACATGACCGATCTATTGTGACTAATGAAGTCCCAAGGCATCGTTGGTCAATCAGAAGCATCAATTTTCACAAGTTCTACATTAACATTAATATCTCAGAAATACTACAAAAATGATACATGGCGAAATCTTAAATACACCCAAAAATCAAATCCTATTTTCTCATTCTGCAAGAGATTCAAAAAAAATAAAAAATAAATACACAGTCAAAATGCCACATTCAAGCCAGACAATAATTGATAATGACTAAACTGAACCATTGTTGCCATATTTTTTGGGATACTAAACAAAAAATTTTGCTCACACACATCATCTTGCAATTTGGACCCTAAAGTGTATACAAGATTGTTAGGTTTTATTTTTGGCAACCCCGTTTGACAAAACTCCTTTCAGTTGTATTTGTTTTCGCACTTTTATTTCAGTAAGACTATGAGTTTCTTAGATGCGAATCCAACCCGAATTGTGCCGTTCAGAGAAGTTTGTGATGTTAATGCTTTCAAGATTCCCACTTCGCTGATTATGACGGGGATCGAGCTGCCCGGTCAGCTCGCGGCCGAAGCAAAATGCAAAAATGCATTCAATTTTGGTCTCCCTGCTCGAGCGGGGAAAGTGACGCTCGAGCGGGGTTTACAATCTCACAGCATCTCTGCTCTGCCTGAAAAAGTACTGGATGGTGTGATTCGATGCTCGAGCGTCGAAACTGACGTCGAGCGTGAAGCCTATATGAATTGCGGAATATGAAGTCTCCGCTCGAGCGAGAAGTCCCACGCTCAAGCGGACCGCGCGAACACAGTTTTTGGATTTCGATAAGGATTTAGTTTTCTGAAGAAACTAGGATTACTTTTAGTTTTCTATAAGTAGTTGGTTTTCTCTCAAAACTAGACTACTCCTTAATTCCTCCAGATCTTCTTTTTTGAATTCTAAGGTTTATATCTAGGAAAATTTTATTAGTTTTCTTTGATGTTTTATTGAGTATTCAACTCATGGTTTAAAGAGAGTACATCAAAGGTTTTGTTTATTCTACAAAAGAGAGAGTTGTTCTTCGGTGGATTCTGAAGAATTTGAGCCTGAAGCTTTGGTGGATTCCGGAGTGACTCATTGTAAAGACAATTCTGAGGTGAAGGCGGGTTGGAAGAGGCACATAGAGGTTGGTTCAATTAGGCGTGGATTCGCTAGGTAATTGAGAGTATACCTGTGTAATTCCTTTAAATCTTCTTAGTGGATTGTTTTGTGGCTGTTGCCCGTGGTTTTTTTATCACAGTTGGAGGCGTCCAATTGTGATTTTTTCACGTAAAATCGTTGTGTCTCTGTGTCTTGATTGTTTGATTGGGATTGTTATATTCTGCTTAAAATTGATACGATTACAAATCAACATCTAGGAGGTTTCTAGATTTTTCAAAGATGCTTATGTTACATGACTTCGGGCAAGAATATTAGGTGAAGGTGCGCATCCAAGCGTCAAGCTTTCATAAATCTAAATCTTAAGATATTTCTAAATCCATAAGTTGGATATGGATAAGGAAAAATGTCAAGGACAATAATATAATTGAACATTATATAACATTCTTCAATAAGATGTAAATTATGTAAAAATATATTTGAATTTAAATAGGATTTAGGGAAATATAAAACTTCTCTCTCTCATCAAGCTATTAGTGTTTCTTAACTTACAAATGTGAGTTTCTTCTTCTTTAAACATTGTAAAAAATTAGAGAATCGAAGGCCTTGTTTGGTTTGTGTTTCCCAAAAATTTTTGAGAAAAATTCTCTACAAATAAGTTTTCAAAAGTAATCAAACCAAACAAATTTTCTCAAAAAAATTTTCCAAAACTTGTTTGGTTTACAAGTTTTTCAAACAAATCTCTCTTTCATACACATCAAATCAATCACTTTTTTCAAAACTCTCTCTCAAAATAATTTTTCAAAATATCTTTTAAAAAAAATCAAACCAAACAACTTTTCGTACTTTTTATCTCTAAAACTCATTTCCAAAACTCAAACCAAACATACTCGAAGTGTCTAAATTAGATACGGATGTCAAGCACATATCCTACCATTGCCCTTGTTATGTCCGGTGGACACGATTACTTCGGGAGAAATAGAAGAGTCCATGTAACACACAAGATGCCACTCTCACTTATCAAAAACAAATAAAGATGTCACTCACAGTTCTGCTACCCAGTCTTGTCTTTATTTTTTTTACTTTTTGGTCAGAGATGGGATTTAAATCACCAGCACCCATTTTTTGTAGCATGTATCACTAGAGAAAAACAAGGCTTCTTCACACTCAACACTCACAATTTTCAACTTCGTTGTTAAGGGACCGGACACACACTGTCCAGCCACAAAATTGACTGCATAAACAGTAAGCAAAATTATAAAAACAATCACATATTCACATTATTAATGAAAAACAGTATAATGGAGAATATTAATTTCATAGGAACCAGTGACTAGAGAAGAAATTGTCGAAGAGCACAGAGGTAAAGATGAACCTTTTCCTTCAAAGTTACATATCCTAAAGTTAGCTAATGCCTCAGTGACTCAAAGTAGAACCTCGTTTGTCAAGCTCCATCGCTTGGGCAGCCTTTGCTTTTGCCAATGCTGTCAACTTGGTCTTCACCTATCTCTTCCCAACTTGGAATGCACTTGCACCCTTCTTCTTTTTCTTCGTGTCACTACCCATCCGACTAAACACATAATTGCCCAAACACAAAGCTCTTCAACACATTCCAACACTATACAGAGAGTGGGCTTGGAGGAAGAAGAAAGGGAGTTACTTTCATCTTATTCTTCTTGGCCTGCAGCTTCTTTGCCTTGTTTTCTTTCTCTAATTTCTCTCCTGATTTTTTCAAATACAAATCAGAACAAACTCAATCACATACCCACAACAAAAACATTTAGGGGGCCAATTTACCAAAAACCCAATTCAAATCATATAAACACACATATATACATACATATATAGAGAGAGATAGAGAGAGAGTGCTTTGGAGTTCGAATTCGTGCTGTCTTTTTCTGCGAGCTAGGTCGTTCTTCTTCGATATTTCTCTCTCTCTCTCTCTCTCTCTACTGAATCAACAACAACTCGTCGTTACTTTCTCTCTCTCTCTGGTACTCTGGTTTTCACTTCAATCTCCAGGAGATGCTTGAATTGAAACCCTCATTCCGCTTTTCTTATTTGTCTGTTTTATTATTGAAATGGGCTTTTAAGCCCATCAAACTCTTTGGGCCGGGTTCACTTTTTATTTTATTTTGTCTTATTTGGGTGATTATGTTTGCACCCAAACACTATCTTAATTCGTCTAATTAAAATTTTCTTATTATGATACCTTAATATAAATATACATTAAATTATATATTTTTTTTAATGTACACTCCAATCATTTATATTCAAGTTTGTTCATCTTCTTTTCTACATTTTAATTATTTTCTGTTTTTTTTTTGTCATTCCAAAACTTCAATCTACCATTATCATCTACATCTTTGTTTATTAATGTATTATTATTTATAAATAAAAAAAAATTTGAACAAAATCAAGTAATAGATTAGAATAATAATCAAAAGTAATTTTTAAAATAATTCATTAAAGATGAGATAAGCATTCATATAAATATTAAGCTATAATTCTTAATTTATGTTTTTTTCTTAATATAAAAACACATATTTTGATTATCCCAAAAAAATGTAACAACACACAAAAAAAAAAAAAAAAAAAATGTAACAACACAAAAAAAAAAACCGAAACAAACTTGGGATAATAAACGGAATCATCGTCCATATGAAAACTGCATCAGTTTTATATCTAACCACTATGAAGATCGAAAAAACAGTGAAACAAATTTTAGGTTGAATTGAGTTGTTTATTATTTAAGTGTTTATAAATTATGATTTTTTCTTAAAGATAATTTATAAAAAAAAATATAGAGTGTATTGAGAGTAAATTTATAAACTTAAATAATTTTATAGAATATACTGAAAAATTGGACCTACTATATGATTTTTTTTATGTGCAAATAGAATCACTTATAGTGGACAGATGAGTGGGCCAATAGACTGACTTTATGGACTTGTGACCTGGCCTCAGGCTTAGCCCAAGATTTGAGTGTTTTTTTAATAATTTTCTTCACCCTTTTTTTCAAATAATTTTTTATGGGCTGGGTTGAGGTGGATTTCAAGTTCAAGGCCCAATCTCACTTGTGTTGGCATATCCAGGATTTGGGCTTTATTTGGGTAAAAGCCCAATGAGCCTGGGCTAGGTTAGGTTTCGAGTTTGGGTCGAATTGAGTTTTAAATTCAAAGCCCAATTCCAACCCAATATCGCTTGGACTGGCCTGTTCATAACTTTGGGCCTTGTTTGGGTAAACACGCAACAAGTTTGGGCCAGACCCGATCTCAATGACAAAAAATTATATTCAGATATTTGGGCCTTGGTTGGGTAAAAGCCCAACAAGTTTCGGCCAGACCGGATCTCAAGGACAAAATTATATGTCATTCTCTTTGATCTTTCTCATAATTTTTAAAATTGAGCCTGTGAGATTTATTTAATTCTCTTAAAAAATAAAATTTATTTGAAAAAAGTGATTTCATGAAAGAGTATTGATTATATACATTTGTTTTTGATTTTTTTTTAGAAAAAATATTTGTATATGATTTTTTTTTTTGGTTAATTACAAAAAAAAAAAAAAAAACCCTTAAGGTTGCATGCGTTTTTTACTTTAAAACTTAGTATAAGCATTTCAATTTTGACAAATTAAATCTTGGAGTTTCATTCGTATTTGAGTGTGCCCCCTCCGTCTATCTCCGTTTTATGTAAGGTAATGCAGAATCTTTTGGGATTTAAAGAAAATCACGTGAAACTATTTTTTTTTTTTTGTAAGTAACCCTAATATTTGTTGTTATTATTTTTTTGTGTATGTATATATAACTTACATATCTTATCGTATATGTACACATGTGTTTGTGTATATGATGAAATTTTTTTCTTCAAATTTGGACTCTTCTAATGATAAAATTTTGATTTTGTTCTTAATTTTGATAACTTTGTAAGAGGGACTACTTTAAATGTAAGAGACACTTATCAGTGTTTTAACGGATTAGGGCTACCTAAAATGTAAGAGACACTTATAGTGCTTTAATGGATTAATGTTATTTTTAGTCATCAAAATTATGGACGAAATCAAAATTTTAGGCTGTGTTTGGTGAAACTCTCAAATCATGATTCCACCCCTCCATTTAAGTGTCATGTTTGGATACAAATTTCAAAAATTAATTCCACACCACTTTGGAAAACTCGTTTCAGACAGGATTTGAATTTTGAAATTTGAAATTTGGCTTACCCAGACGTCTGACCGGTCCGGCTAGTTGACCGGAACAGTGCAATTTTTTTTTATTATTATTATTAGTATTAGTAGTATTATTATTATTATTATTATTATTATTATTATTATTATTATTATTTGTAATTGGCACCTATTATTTTTTATATATTAAATAAAAAATATTTTGTAGAATTTTTTAAAAAAATTTTATGAGTTTTAAATAGAACTTTGAGTTGTATGTTTGGTTATGAGTTGTAAGTTTTTAAATCAAATATCATATGTCACATCAAAAATTTCAAACTCAATTCAAAACTATTATTCAGATTAACACGAAATTCAATTAATCCCAAAATGATCCCCCCACAAGCTTGATTTAATCACACATGCAATATATTTTATATTTTAAACTTAATTTTTTAATAATAATTAATTTTAAATAAAATTTGCCAGTGTGTTCTAAAAATTCCAAAATAACACACTAATTTAACTAATTCCGATTTTCAGATGCCGCATAAGCTTTCAATCTTATATAAAAGCAGATTCTAGGGCATGATATTTCCACACAGTAAACAGATAGGAAACCAAAGGTCATGCAAATACATAATATACCCATAATTTATCTTATTCACTTAATTAGCATCCTATTACTTGATTAGACTGTTAGCGGATTCGAAAGGTTTCGTTACAGTACCCAAAGAGATTCTGCATACTTTGATATATAAAATAAGCAAAGGTGTGGTGGCCGCATGATTTTTAAAAATGACTATAGAGAAAGCTCCCTTTACATATGTTCTATTCTGGCATTTATCAAATAGACACTTTACTTAGTAGTGTTTCATAACTTATCCCTTATTGGGTGAAAGTTGGATCAATGAGCTGTTTACATCAAGCGAATTTCATCCTTACTGTATGGATTTGGAGAAATCAACCTTGATTGGGTTCATTAAAATAGATAGGACCTCTTCTTAGACAAAGGTTGACTCCTTTAAATCTACCCTAATGCTTTGTGTTTCCTAGCATAGAAAGACTGTTTTTAGCATTATATACACTCTAAAGTTCTCCAAAATTGTTACTTTGAATGTATCAAGCCTCTAGAAATACCTTCCTTATCCCACTGTTCTTTCGATGACTTGATGCTTGTTTGCCCAAGCTTACGCATACTTTAATTTTGCACCATTTTGAATACCCGTATTCAATGATCCATAGTTTTAGTGGGTAGGTCCAAAAGTGAATCTCCTTGAAATCTGACTCTTTGGTCTGCCTAATGTCCTATGTAAAATGTTGGCCCACAGCCTCAGTTATCATAAATGAGTGGACATTCCGCCTGACTTTTACCTTGCCAAAATACACTGTTTTCTCTACTTCACTCAAAGATAACTAAGAACTAAATTGCTCTCACCTGAACATCCTTAGTAAGATGTTAAGTTCGACTCTCGGTTGTAAAGCTTAGAACTCTCATATTTAGCTCGTAGGAGCTGTACCCTCATTCAAGCCGTCACTCCCTCGACCAATCCCTTCTTATCCAACCATCATAACATGACATCTCCCTAGTACAGCTTTATACATTGATTAGATTAATATCTAATTTTCTAGAGAGATATTTAAACTCAGAAAAAAGCCCATTTTGTAGACTTGATGTGTAGCCAAAAAGTAATCTCTGAGTGTCTCTTAGGTCTTTTAGGATAGCGCTTAGGGATCAAACACAGGCGACTTCCCACTAAATTGTGGAAAGCTTCGAGTGTTGAAAAATTAAACTTTGGTGTAAGTAATCGTCACTCTAAATATATTGGAAACACCACATTCTCTACACTAAGTGACCGATTGAAGAAAATACATTGTATCACATTGTTTGAGTCTCCCAACAAGTTTGTGGCGTGAGAGGTTGGTGTAAGAACTTAAAGAAGCTATCTGCATCTACCAAAGAGATGTCCCTTGACGAAGACAAGAAATAAAACCAAACAACAAATAATCAGGACCAAAGAGAAAACAATAAAATATAATAATAATAAGGTGATAAGCTTTTTGATTTAGCTTGTGTACAGTAGCCTAATGGAAGCAAGATTGGGTTTGTGGAAATGTGGCATAACAGCCCTTTTACACTTATATTTAACCTACGCTAATTCCTTAAGATAACACATGTAAGTTGGTCAGATGAGACAAATAAGCCTTAAGATGATTTGGTGCGCTCAATTTGGTGATCACTTATATGGGCGTGATTTCCTCGATTTCTGATTGTTTCAAGGCTAGAAAATTTGACTCACTTCAAGATAGTAGTCTAATAGAAATGTATATTTATCTTCTATTTAGTCTTATATCTAATGATTTTTCTTACGTTTCTAATTCCGTTTGTTTTTGTCATTCAGCTTGTACTGGGTGTGCTCTTTTGGTCACTAACCTCTTGATTATTTTTTGTTGTACTTGTCCAATAACTTCTTCAGGTGAGCACCTATTCACATTCCCTCCTGCCGTCCGTTAGTTGTTTCGTTGGGATGTTACGGATAATATTGGGGATGGACTAAAGCAGAGACGTAAAGGGAGATCTTGGAGATAAGTTATAGTAGTAACGCAGAAATCTGAGTATGTTGCCATCATGCTTGTGTGTGCAATCCTAAAAATGTGGTTTAGCGGGGGCGCACAACCAGCGATCCTGTGTGTCTTTTCTCTGTATTTAATCAGCTGGCCCTTCTCAATAATCCTTGCCATCATAACGCACCCACTGCTATAGAACTGTGGATATGTGTTGCGAGCGCGCCTCTAATTTCCTAAACAATCATTTGAAGAATGAACACTTTCTATCAGATAGTTTTTTTGTTCATTCATGTAGTAACCTCTTTCCCGTTCTATTTTAGCCTTTAGGAAATTTTTATAAGACACATACAAAAATCGTACAC